TAAGCCGAAAAGAAAATGAATGAACAATCAATTTAAACTCATTTATTCATTTTCTTGTCGGCTTAGTCCCTCTATTAATCAGGGGTCGCCACAGCGGAATGAACCGCCAACTTGTCCAGCATATGTTTTATGCAGCAGATGCCCTTCCAGCCACAACCCAGCCTTGGAAAACACTCATACACTCTTGCATTAACACCCACACATACACTACGGCCAATTTAGTTCATCAATTCCCCTATAGACCTGAGATGGAAGAAATATTGATAATAAAAAATATATATATTTTTCATTCGTTATAACACTTCATTAAAATTGGACAAATTATTCATTAAATATTACGTAATATACGGTGCTCGGCATAAATGAGCACACCTCATGTATCCATTTCTCAGTGAATATAGACAATATACACTTAGCGGCCACTTTATTAGGTACACCTGTCCAACTGCTCGTTAAAGCAAAATACCAACGAGCCAATCACATGGCAGCAACTCAATGCATTTAGGCATGTAGACATGGTCAAGACGATCTGCTGCAGTTCAAAGTGAGCATCAGAGTGGGGAAGAAAGGGGATTTAAGTGACTTTGAACATGGCATTGTGTCAGACGGGCTGGTCTGAGCATTTCAGAAACTGCTGATCTACTGGGATTTTCACGCACAACCATCTTTACGGTCTACAGAGAATGGTCTGAAAAAGAGGAAATATCCAGCGAGCGGCAGTTCAGTGGGTGCAAATGCCTTGTTGATGCTATAGGTCAGAGGAGAATGGCCAGACTGGTTCCAGCTGATAGAAAGGCAACAGTAACTCAAATTAGCACTCGTTACAACCGAGCTCTGCAGAAGAGCATCTCTGAACACACAACATGCCCAACCTTGAGGCGGATGGGCCACAGCAGCAGAAGAGCACACCGGGTGCCGCTCCTGTCAGCTAAGAACAGGAAACTGAGGCTACAATTCACACAGGCTCACCAAAACTGGACAATAGAAGATTGGAGAAACGTTGCTGCTCTGATGAGTCTCCATTTCTGCTGACACATTCAAATGCTCGGGACAGAATTTGGCATCAACAACATGAAAGCATGGATTCGTCCTGCCTTGTATCAACAATTCAGGATGGTGGAGGTGGTGTAATAGTGTGGGGGAGATTTTCTAGGCACATTTTGGGTTCATTAGTATCAACGGAGATTCACATCATGGATGTGCAGCCAACATGATGCTATCATGTCAATATGGAGCGAAATCTCTGAGGAATAATTCTGCCACAAAGGATTAAAGCAGTTCTGAAGGCAAAAGAGGGTCTGACCTGATACTAGTCAGGTGTACCTAATAAAGTGGCCGATGAGTGTATATTAAAAAAGATGAATAAATATCGCAATAAATGAATTAGTCATAATTTATTCCTGCTAATTAACTAATGAAACATTATTCTACTGATTAACACCAGTGTTATTATTTTATTCCACTGCACACCAGTAACACAACAATGCTAATCGTATTTTAATAACTGTCGTTCTTCTCAGATTGAAATAAATTTTTAAAAATCTTTAAAATCCCACATGCATAATTAGCCAATCTGTCCGGTCCAGCAAAACAGCGCCGATAAAAGGCATAATTGCTAAAAGACATGATGTGAGAGAGGAGCAGGTGTGTGAGCAGACATCACTGAAACACAATCTGATCTCCACTCGCCGAGGAAATCACCAGCCAGCAATTACGGGAAAAGTAAACAGTAATTTTGTGTGTGTGTATGTGTGGGGTGGGGTGGGGGGTGTGGGGATCTGAACACGGCTAATTAAAATGCTGTTTGTTTTGGCTGCGGCTCTTCTGTGTTACTAGTGGTTGTTTTTGGTGGATAAAACAACAAAACTCATGGCAAACTTAAGTATATACATTAATATACATCAATCCCACACTGATGCATTAGAAACACTTACCTATAATTAGGTCCTGCTAGTTAACACTAGTTAATGGATCAGTTAAGGTTGAGTAGTTACCACACTTGCTAAAGTATTTAAAGTTGGGTCACAGTTCAGTGTGATGTATAAGTCATGCTATTAACTAATTAACTAAGCTCACTAACTAATCATTAACTAAGCTCAATAGTTATCTGCTTGATGATGGTTAGTGAGGTAGTAGTTGGATTTAGTGTTGGGTAGGGTTAGGGATGTAGAATAAGAGCAGGATCATTTATAAGTGCTCATAAACAGTTAATATCTTACTAATAGATTGGTTATAA